AAGTTCCACAAAAATCATATGAATGAAAAGTCCTAAATATATTTTTAAATTGTTAATTATAAGAAGTTATTAATTAAAATCAAATTATATATTCTAAAACGTCAAGTTAAATATTCCAAAATTATATACGTTATTAAATTGGTTTACTTTCACCAAAAAGGAAAGGAAATGTAAGACTAACGATTTTTATTAAAGGAAGAAGAGAATCATAAGTGATTGTCCAAAAACTATGAATTATGAAATTTCAGTGTCCAATATGAGATACATATGTAACCATAGTGTCCAACTTGGCCTATTTAAAATTTTAGTATCCAATATGAGATTCTCATGAAACCACAGTGTCCAATTTGAGCCTTATCCCCACTTAGGAGTAGTGTGAGGCTGAATGTGCATAGATGTTACCCCTATGGCGGCCCTATCTTAAGTACAAAAACCAAAGATATATATATTGATGATAACAAATTAATTGACAGTATATTTGAATATGTTGCATAGACACATATACGGGACATGCAAAAACGGATATGTCTTTCAAATTTTACTTTTCAATGTTAAATCTCACACCGGAAATATTTGAGTCAACGAAATGCTATATTAAGACATGGGTGACTCCTCCTATCACGTTGACCTTTTAGGATGGAACCCCAAGTCTTCAATGGTATCAGAGCCAAATCGATCCATGGTGTGTGTCCCTTATGAAAAATGATTGACACGATTATAAAAAAATGACAATGATGAATTGACGAAAAAAATGAATGACGGCACGTTCCGTACAAAGAGTCTGGTCATGAGGAGGGGTGTTAAATCCCACACCAGAAATGTTTGAGTCAACCAAGTGCTATATTAAGACATAGGCGACTCCTCCTATCAGGTTGATCTTTTAGGATGGAATCTCAGGTCTTCACATTCAAATTAGCTAGACAAATATGTTAAGAATTATTACTTTTAACTCAAGTGCTTCCTCTTTCAAAAAGAAATTTGTTAAAGTATACTGTCCCATATCGGAAAATTATAAAACAATAAAACACTATATCCAAGTCCGGTTGTAGTTTGGCAGCTTGTTTAGCACCACGATTAATGGTAGCTTGTTAAGGGTTTTGTTTGAAATCTATCAAAAAAAAATCAGCGTATATTTCACATTTCAATCTTCTCATCATATGGAGTATATAATACTGATAAGTATTCCTTGATATAACGTGAAGATTATTTATATGAAAATTAAATTTTTTACACTAAATGTGTTTTTATAGACGTTGGTGTTTTATGTCTGACTAAAAATTGCATATATAATGCTAAATAGTATTTATTGACTGTTATAATGATTCTTTTTTGTACTAGCATTGTGGAATATATTGTAAAAAACCCAAATTCAGAAATGGTTTTTCCGAATGGAAAGCCTCGAGCATTTATGAGGATCCCCAATGGAGAATGGATGGCAATTTCTATGGTGGCACCTGAGGATCATCTTTCTAGATTTCTTTCTCAATTAAAGCACTTTTTCAGTTGTATCGTGCATCTTATATTCAAAATGCTCTTGATGTATCCTCATTGAGTGCAATATTCTCAATAATTTCCAAACAATTTAACTAATGTACATATGATAACTCCTTAAAATCAGTGTATATATAATATGCATACTAATAAAGTATTGTAATTAAGTATGTTTGCGGTGTGAATGGGTAATTTGACATTGTTAAGTCCCTCTACATTCGAGTTTGATGATGCATCTGTATTTGACTTTGAGCACTTGAATTGTAACAATATTTTGTAATTCTTTCTGCATTTAACTCATTAAAAAACTCATTAAAAGAGAAGTACTCAAAAGAATGAAAAAATAAAAAAGAAGAGTACCAAAAAGAGAAAAGAAAAGAGAAAGACGTACCAAAAAGAAATGAAAACCAAAACAAGGTCGGAGACACTGAGGTGTTCCGTTATTACCACATCAATGTAAACACTGATGTGTGGCATGTCCATGATGATAGAAGCGTTAAATCTCTAACAGGACTTCCAACCAATCATCGTGAATCATCCATAGTAGATGTTACTCTAGTCATTATGGCATGACTAGGAACATCATGGATGATGTAGCCCTCGGGGTCACGTAGACGCCCATTATCATCGCTATATAGATGAACTCTAAAGTGATCGACCGAACATGTTGGTGATTTCTATCTTGCAACGTCATGACTTCCTTCCAGTCATTGCTCTACATCTATAGTAGATAAGTATGGAAGTTCTAGTAGGTCACATGGACCAGCAACTGACTCTAAAATGTGTCTGTGTCCTAGAAAAATTGAAAACATTTAGGAGTGAGGTAACTAGACAAGACGTGATCATCGAAAGTTCAGTGGCATTGGACTGAGGGCCAATTTAGTTAGTATCACTTGCTTCGGAAGGAGACGGTGATAAGAGATGAGGTTCCCCTTGAAGTTTGATTAATCACATGTCTGTTGGAAGACAAATGAATGGTCTAGGGTAGGGTTGTGCACACGCTGTTTGGACAGATGCAATAACTTACTCGGGATCTGAATAAATTCAGTTCTGTACCTATGAGGAATTGTCCGAAGTATTTGAGTGACTAGGATTTATTCCTCGATTGATAGTGCTATTGAGGTAGCGCGCAGACTTGATATTGATTATTGTTTTCTTGCTCATTTGAGCCATTTACTTCCTCGCTCTCAAAATGTTCACTGACTAGCGGGGTTGTCCCTTGGGTAGGCTTAGTTGGGTTTACTAAGCCATTGGGACTTGATCTCTCATTTATCTCTTTGTTCTTTTCTGTTTGAGCGATCCCAGATCAACAGTCGAATAAATCTAGATAATAATATGAAGAATTTAAACAATAGAAGAATAATTCATCAACATTCAATATTGTATATTCAGAATGATGTAGCAATAATGCTTATTACACGGATGAACTGTTGAGAGAGAATTATCTAGGTGCTCTACGAGAATAATATGTGCGGAATAAAATGCGTAGAGACTTAGACTGTTCGAACCATCTCTGCCTGTATTTATAGGAGAGAGGTCAAGCATGATATTACAATTAGGAACAGAGTAGGCGTGCGTGTGTGTGGGCTTTATTAGAGCATTTAAAAAGCCTATTTCCCTATCAACTAAAAAGCCGGCTAATACAGAGACTAATTAAACAAAGATAATTACTTTTAATTTGAACACAATTAAATAATGTTCTAACAATCTCCCCCTTTGTGTTCAAATGTCGATGAAGCACAGATTATCTTCGCGTCTTGTATAGCGATTTCCTGTAGCCAAGCATGACTTCATAATGTCGAAGAGTTCTTCTGAAATCGAGTCGTATACTTATGGCTTCTGCAAAATCACCTATTAATGCAATCTGCATCACGTCTTCTGGATTCTCTGAGTTCTTCAGCTTCAGTACATTGATGTACTCCTAATTTACCATATTTATGATCTTTTTTGTCACACTTTTAATATTTTATTTCTCATTTTTAAATAAAAAGGATTGATTTTTATCATCTTGGACATTTTAAGGTATTGCACTTGTTTTGGTATATTTTTTAATTTCAGGGCAATTTGGGGCGTAAATTAATTTCTGAAAAAAATAAATATTACTCCCGAGTGAAGACGGAAAAATAATCAAAGTGAAGCGGATCCTTACTTTAACTCTGGAATATTTTATCAAGAAACCCGAAATATACTTCAGAATAAATAAGACTGTCCGCATTAAAATGTACCGGTTAACCGTTGACCAGTTAACTGATCAAATAGCTAACCGGCCAAATAATGCAAGCGGATAAGAGCCAAAACTTTGGCTGACATGTACTGTTCACTCCTTATTATGAGTGAAATTTCATCCACGTACAAGCTCTCAAGAAGGAAAAATAATGAAGTGCAAATGCATTTCATTGATTGGAGTGGAGGGACCTACGAAGCAACTAAAATCAGAATCAACTTCTTCGCTCCAGTCGGCCATCACCGAGAACAACAGCAACAAGATAGCAACGAAGAAAAGAAATACAACAGAACAGGAGTGGCACTATTCACACAAAGAAATTGAGAACCTGGCAATCGCATCTGATGAAGACTGAAGTAATATCATAGCAAAATAATTACTTATCAACATCTTCATTTCAGAATTTTATGCTTTAGCCCCTTTTCCTACTACTATATATATAAAGGGTCATCCAGGAGCTGCAAGAAACACCAATTCGGAGAGAAATCTTCTTCCTCTTTTCTTTAGCTTTGTTCATAATAGTAGTCATATAATAAAAGTGATTCTGTCAAGAACACTTTCTGTAAATTTCAGTTCGTAATTTCCATTTCCAGAATTTTAGTTCTTTAATTTCAACAATCAAGTTCATTTGGGAAGTATCAGCCAGAATCATTCTCAGCTTAAGGATTTCACTTTCTCTATTCCATCTCATTATTTATGCCATCAGGTTCTTATTCAAATACTCATTTTATTTTCTTTAATCTGTTAAATTAATTATGCCTATCATTAGTTTTACTTTTATTTCGTTTACTGTAATTATGTGCAACTAAATTAGTTTAGGTTTGGGCAAGATGTAATTTTTACTGTTAATGTTCATACGATAATAATTGGTTAAAACTATTACTTGGTTAATTTTAGGAGTGTTGGGTTGAATATTCTAATCTGCTAAATACATTATATTGGGAAATGAATATTATCACGGGAGTGAAATTTCATTAAAATCCATTTTTGTTAATTCACCCACTAAATTGCTACACGGAAGTGTTAAGTAATTTAGGATAATTTGATTTTGTACTTTTTACTGTCTTAATAAAATTACCGCGAGAGCGGAATTAATTTGAGATAGTGTAATCAACTAAGTCGTGGGAACGATTAGAAGATTACCATTTGTAAATCTTTCACACACCTAAAAGTAACTAAGTTAATTAATTAAATCTTTATTATTATGAACATCAAAATAAAATTACTCTTAGCCCAAGCCTAATTTTCTCTATATCATTAATTGTTAAATTACCAAGTATTGTGATTTATTTTACTCTAGCAATCCCGCATTGACAAAAAAACGAGATAAAAAAAATCTGTTCACTTAGCTCCATTGCAAAATGTTATTAATTTGTGATTAGCTAAAAATCAATCGTTAATTCTAGTTCTCTTTTTGAGCCATTCTCTAGCGGAACGATACTCACTTACTCTATATTATATCGTTACAAGCCAATTAAAACATCGTTTCCATTCACATTTTTACCCCATTTCACACTACACATTTTGGCATGTCACGATTTTGGTGCCGTTGCCGGGGAATGGCATAGTGTTATTGGTTGATTATTAGTTAATATTTGTGTTTGTTATTATTTATCTGGAGACGAAGTATTTTTTTTACCCGTTCTCATCACTTTCGTAAAAAAAAAAAAAAATCATTTCTCGTGCACTAAAAAAAAAACTCTTAAAAAAGTGTATGCATACTCGCTCTCAAGGGAGTGAAGGATTGCAACCACGTAACCTTGATTTTGAAAAAGAATTAAGGAAAAGAAGAAAAGCACGAACCATTGAACTTAAAATTCCAGATCTGATCATGGAGGATTTTCAAAACAATCCTAATAATCCAAATGGCCAAAACCTAATTCCAAATCCAAATCCTACGCCACCTCAAAATACACCCGTTGATACTCCCAGAGATAGACATAATCCTTTCTTTGGAGATCAAAGACCACCAGGATTTGAAAATTTCCAACAAATTCCTCCCCAAACACAACCCCAAATTTATCCACCACATCCCTACCAAAATCACTAAAATCAACCTCCTCCTCCATATCCATACACTTACCCATATCCTTACCCACCTCCTCCATTTATGCATCCATACCAACCTCACCCATATGGCCAATACTACCAACACCCACATAATCAACAAGATCAAGGGCAATTCATGAGACAACAGCAAGGGAGAAGACTTCTTGATTATGTTGCAGGTGAAATTGAGGAACAAGACATTATTCTCTATCCAGGTGTGGATGCAGCAAATTTTGAGATCAAACCAGGACTTATCTCATTGGTCGCAGCCAACAAATTTGGCGGATCAAAGAGGGAAGATCCGACGAGCCATGTGAAACAATTCTTGAGAGTTCTCCAAACTCTTAAACTTAATGGAGCCTCTGTTGATGCTATCAGACTCAGATTGTTCCCATTCTCACTGAGGGATGAAGCATTGAGTTGGTTGAACTCTAAACCATCTGGTTATTTCAACACATGGGAGAAGTTGCATCGCGAATTCATGAAGGAGTTCTATCCTCCTTCCAAGGCATCAAAAATGAAGAAACTTATCCAGCAATTCAGGCAACATCCATCAGAATCTCTTTATGAATCATGGAAGAGATTTAAAGACCTTCAAGTTCAATATCCACATCATAATATGAGCATGGGTGATCTCATTGTCTCATTTTATGAAGGATTACATGATAATTCCAAAATTGTTGTGGATGCCTCTGCTCATGGAGCTTTCATGGAGCTAGATCCTGAAACAGGCAAAGAGATGCTTGAGAAAATTTGTAACAACAGTGCATCATGGTATTCTGAAAGATCCACTCAAAAACTAGGAGCGGGAATTTATGAGGTCGACCAAACAACAGCTTTAACGGCAAAGGTTGATTCTCTCACAACCATGGTTCAAAAGCTCACAGAGAAACAATCATCATCAACTTCTAGCACATCAACAAATCCATCATCATCTTTAGCTCAAGTTTTGTTCTGTGAACTCTGTGGAGGAGGACATTCTTTTAAGGAATGCAATCTTCTTGAACTTACACAAAATGTTCCTTCTGGCCCCACAGTAGAACAAGCTAAAGCTATATATGGTAGACCTCAATTACCATATCAAGGAAACTATAACCCTCAAGGGAAGAGACATCCAGGATTCTCATGGAGCAACCCATCAGGTGCAGCAAATTCATCTTTTCCATCCAAACCAACACCTCCAGGATTTCAAAATCAACAAGGATTCAGAGGAGGAAACCAAAACAACCAACAATTGAGGGGAAATCAAGGGTATCAAAATCCTCAAGGGTACCCACCGCAACAACAATTTTCATCACCTCCTCAACAACAACAACAATTTGTTGGAGTTAATGATTTCCACCAGATGATGCAAGGTATTACTAATCAATTTTCTCAACTCACCACTCAACTCAATCAAATTCAAGCTCACAACAAAATGCTTGAGAGCCAGATTGCTAGTTTTGCTTCACCATCTACTAGCAAAGCTCAAGGCAAATTGCCTGCCTACTCTGAACATCCCAAGGAGAATGTCAATGCAATCACTACAAGGAGTGGAAAACAACTTTCTGATCCACCACTTGTAGTTGAAAAAGAAAAGATAACTGAAAAAGAGACTTCACCATCAAAGGAGAGTAACGAAGAAGGTCTCAATTTTCCAACACAAGAGGGCACGAAAAAGGTAGTTCAACCATATGTTCCACCTTTACCATTTCCTTACAGAGCAAAGAAGAACACAATTGATGAGAGGAGGGATAAATTCCTCAAATGGATCGGACAACTTAACACAACAATTCCACTTCTTGATGCTTTGAAACATATGCCTTCATATTCCAAATTTCTGAAGGAAATTCTGTCAAACAAAAAGAAGTTTGAAAAGAAAGCTACCGTAGCCATGAGCGAGGGATCCAGTGCTATTATTCAAAAGAAACTTCCAGAAAAATTGAAGGATCCAGGTAGCTTTATTATTCCATGCATTATTGGAGGGTTCATGGTCAACAAAGCTTTGTGTCACCTTGGGGCTAGTGTTAGCCTTATCCCTTATTCTATGAGCAAACGACTTAGTCTTGGTATTCCCAAAGCTACTTCAATAACCATTCAGCTTGCTGACCGATCTGTTAAGCACCCTGTTGGTATTCTAGAAGACATTCCTGTACAAATTGGGAAATATTTCATCCCTTGTGACTTTGTCGTCCTAGACATGGATGAAGATGAGCGAGTACCTGTCATATTAGGAAGGCCTTTCTTGGCCACTGCTGGTGCCATCATTGATGTTAAAAAAGGTACGTTAATAATTGAAGTGGGGGATGAAAGGGTTGAGTTCAATATTTTCCAAATGGAGAGAAATCCTTCATGTGTGGAAGATTGTTGGAGGGTTGATATAGTTGATGAATGTGTGAGAGACTTCATGGGATTCTTTCACAAAGATCCTATGGAAGCTTATGTTGTGGAGGAAATTGAAAAAAATCATGAGGGAGAAGAGTTAGTTGAGTGTGTAAAAAACAAAGAGAGCTGTGAAAAAAATCATGAGGGGGGGGGGGGGGGGAAGTGGACAAACTGGAGAGAGAAGAAGTGAGGGAGACTAATAGCACAAAAGAACCACCCAAAGTTGAGTTGAAGCCTTTACCATCACACCTAAGATATGCTTATCTTGGTGAAAACTCTACTTACCCAGTGATTATTAGCACTAAATTGAATGAGGAGGAAGTAGACAAGCTATTGGTCCTATTGAGAAAACATAAACAGATCATTGGATACTCCATCGATGATCTAATTGGCATCAGTGCTAACTATTGTATGCACAGAATTTATCTTGAGGAAGGATGCAAACCAGTTGTTGAACATCAAAGGAGACTTAATCCTAACATGAAGGATGTTGTGAAGAAAGAAGTTATCAAACTTCTTGATGCTGGTATCATTTACCCTATTTCAGACAGTAGATGGGTAAGTCCAATCCATGTTGTACCAAAGAAAGGAGGTTTCACAGTTGTTCCAAATGAGCATAATGAGCTCATTCCTACTCGCTTGGTCAGGGGATGGAGAATGTGCATCGATTACAGGAAGCTTAACAAAGTCACAAATAAGGATCATTATCCTTTACCTTTCATTGATCAGTTACTTGAGAGGATGGCAAACCATAGCCATTATTGCTTTCTCGATGGATTCTCAGGATATTTTCAAATCATGATCCATTCAGATGATCAAGAAAAGACTACCTTCACATGTGCCTATGGTACATTTGCTTTTCGAAGAATGTCATTTGGCTTATGTAATGCACCCGGAACTTTCCAACGGTGTATGATGGCTATATTCTCTGATCTTATTGAAGAAATCATGGAGGTATTCATGGATGATTTCTCTGTCTATGGGACCTCATTCGACTCGTGCTTGGATAATCTTGATAAAGCATTGAGTCGTTGCCAAGAGGCAAATCTTGTCCTAAACTGGGAGAAGTGCCATTTCATGGTAACAGAAGGAATTGTTCTTGGGCATAAGATTTCATCCAAAGGCATTGAGGTAGATCCAGCAAAGATTGAAGTGATCGAGAAGTTACCACCGCCAACATCTGTTAATGGCATCCGAAGCTTTTTAGGGCACGCTGGATTCTATCGGCGATTCATCAAGGATTTTGCTCATATTGCAAAACCAGTCACAAGACTCCTATCCAAAGAGGTTGAATTTATCTTTGATGATGCTTGTCTTAATTCTTTTTGTAAAATTAAGAAAGCATTATGTTCTGCACCTGTCATTCAACCACCAGATTGGAGCATGCCTTTAATCCTAATGTGCGACGCCAGTGATTATGCTGTAGGAGCCATGTTGGGACAAAAACAAGGTCGTTGCATACATGCAATTTATTATGCAAGTCATACTCTCGATGATGCTCAACAAAACTATGCCACAACAGAAAAAGAGCTACTCGCAGTTGTCTTTGCCATAGAGAAGTTCAGGTCATATCTTGTTGGAAGCAAAGTGATAGTTTACACTGATCACTCAGCTCTAAAGTACCTGTTTGCAAAGAAGGAGGCCAAGCCACGACTTATTAGATGGGTGTTGCTACTGAAAGAGTTTGACATCGAGATCCTTGACAAAAAGGGGTCTGAAAATGTCATCGCTGATCACCTGTACAGAATTGAGTCACACACAGAAAATAAAGCGACCAAAGAATTACCCATTGATGATTCATTCACGGGAGAATATTTGCTCTCTGTCAAGCACTTTTCTCCTTGGTATGCTGATTGGGTTAATTACCTGGTCAGTGGTTATATTCTTTCCGAATTTTCGTGGTCCCAAAAGAAAAAGTTCTTATATGATGCTCGCTCTTATTTTTGGGATGAACCACTATTGTTCAAGAGATGTGCTGATGGAATTGTTCGAAGATGCATTCCGGAAGATGAGTTTGAGGCTATCCTTTATCATTGTCATTCATCACCATATGGTGGTCATTTCGGATCCACAAGGACGTCAGCTAAAGTCCTACAGTCAGGTTTCTATTGGCCTACATTGTTCAAAGATTCTCAAATGTACGTGAAAAGATGTGATAGATGCCAACACACAGGATCTATTGGTCGCCGAAATGAAATGCCACAATCCGGAATACTTGAAGTTTAACTCTTTGATGTATGGGGAATGGACTTTATGGGACCATTTCATAGCTCATGTGGCAATTCTTACATTCTTGTGGCTGTGGACTATGTTTCAAAATGGATTGAAGCGATTGCTAGTCCAACAAATGATTCCAAGGTTGTGATCCGGTTTGTGAAGAAATTTATTTTCTCAAGGTTTGGAGTTCCGAGGGCCTTCATCACAGATAATGGTACACACTTCTGCAATAAGCAACTTGAGAAACTTTTGCTCAAGTATGGTGTTAATCACAAAGTGTCTACTCCGTACCATGCACAAACTAGTGGCCAAGTTGAACTCTCAAATAGGGAAATCAAATCAGTCCTTGAGAAAGTTGTCAATCCCACAAGGAAAGATTGGTCCCTCCGACTTGATGATGCTTTATGGGCCTATCGTACTGCATATAAGACTCCTATTGGCACATCACCGTTCAAATTGGTGTATGGGAAGTCTTGTCACTTACCAGTGGAGATTGAACACAAAGCATATTGGGCTATCCAAAGCCTAAACCTTGACTCCACACTGGCGGGGCAAAAGAGGTTGTTACAACTGAATGAACTTGAAGAATTCAGAATTGATGCCTTTGAGAATGCCCGACTCTACAAGGAAAGAGCAAAGAAATGGCACGATGGGAGAATCCTTAGGAGAGACTTTTCTCCTGGAGATAGTGTGCTACTATTCAACTCAAGGCTAAAACTCTTTCCAGGAAAGCTGAAATCAAAATGGTCTGGACCTTTCAAAGTTATCAAAGCCTATCCATCCGGGGCAATCATTCTGGAGGGAAATGATGGGAGACAATTTACTGTCAATGGCCAAAGAGTTAAGCAATATCATGAAGGAGATGACACAAAGGAGAAACTCACTGTTGATCTGGACAATCCTCCTTACGAATAAAACACTCAGGTAATGTCGGGCACACGACGTTAAAAATAGCGCTTCTTGGGAGGCAACCCAAGTTTATTTCCTTGCATTTGTATGTGTGTTTTGTTTGTGTGTTTGCATTGCATGATTTTTTTTCCCACCCATTTACTCACCCGCCCTGTATATATTTGTCCCATCGAGGACGATGTTTCATCCTAAGTGTGGGGGGAGAATACGCATGTTTGTTTGTTTGCTTGTGAATGGCCTTATCATCTGTTTAACTTTCAAATCATGCATTCTATTCTTTCATATGGTATGTGGATTGTTGGCGGGACTTGTCTCTTAATAATTGGATTGAGAATCATAATTTTGAGCGTTGAGTAAAATTTTGGTCAAATTTTAAACTTTGTACACACACAATACATCTCATGCACGCAAATGGTTATCTAGTGAAATTGTTGTTCAACATGTTTAAGATTGTGCAAAACAAGAGTGTTATGTGATTTTATTTTCCTTGACATGATTTTCTGACTTAGCACATTAGGAAATGATATAGGCCATTTTTCAAAAAACCCATATACCTAGCCTTACCCATGTGATAAATATCCCTTGCTCACCCCTTTGAGCCATTTTTTTAATAAGCGTTATACGCTTAACCCTATTTTTGTTGTTTTCTTTCATGAAAACCTGTTATATGTGACCCTTAGCCTAAAAGCCAATCACTATCCATCCACCCTAAAATGAACTTGCATAAAATTTTAATGAGTTTAGAGAGTGTCATTCACCTTAAGGGAGCTTCATTTACACTTTTGTGATTACTTAGTTGTTAATATTCATTTATAGGGGTAGTTGTTCTTGTTGTATCATCATTGTACATATTATTCTTGTAAATTCTTACTGTTAGAAGCATGAAATAAGCCTTGAAAAAAAATCAAAAAAAAAAATTGAAAAAGAAAAAAAAAGAAAAAAAAAGAAAATATAAAAAAACATGAAAAAAAGAAGAAGAAAAAAGTGAACAAGGCTAAATGTCAATGTATATGCTTCTCTCTTTTGTATATTTTTCTTGTACATTAAACTACTCTTTTTACTACCCCTAACTGTTGAAAATAACAAGTGTTGTATAGATTATTGCCAAAAGCTCCTACACACTACTTAGTACCTCTTTAAATTTGTTAAATTTATGTCAAGTTCATTTCTTTTGTTTCCTCATTAACTCCCTTTGTTCATAAGCCTTTTCCCTCAGACCCCATTATAACCCAATGTAAAAAGTCCTAATTGATTCTAATTTTGTTTTGTCTGAAATAAGTTGATAGGAAAATCTTATTTTGCATAAATTTTGCATGGTTGAACAAACGAAGCTAGATATCATTTGCGCACCACACACTTTGTGCTTGTTAGAGTTGAGATTTGACCAAAACGTTTCAGATGATATGCAAAATATTTTTATGATTCTCACTACTCTTATTTTGAGACAAGTCAAGGAAACTTGATTGATCAGGTGGAGTGAAAGGAAAGTGTGCATGTTTTGAGAATTATACATATGATTTGGAAATTCATTTTTGCTTGCTTGTTTGTGTGAATGTAAATATTTTTGCTTGAGGACAAGCGAAATCTTAAGCATGGGGGAGTTGATGTACTCCTAATTTACCATATTTATGATCTTTTTTTGTCACACTTTTAATATTTTATTTCTCATTTTTAAATAAAAAGGATTGATTTTTATCATCTTGGACATTTTAAGGTATTGCACTTGTTTTGGTATATTTTTTAATTTCAGGGCAATTTGGGGCGTAAATTAATTTCTGGAAAAAAATAAATATTACTCCCGAGTGAAGATGGAAAAATAATCAAAGTGAAGCGGATCCTTACTTTAACTCTAGAATATTTTATCAAGAAACCCGAAATATACTTCAGAATAAATCAGACTGTCCGCATTAAAATGTATCGGTTAACCGTTGACCAGTTAACTGATCAAATAGCTAACCGGCCAAATAATGCAAGCGGATAAGAGCCAAAACTTTGGCTGACATGTACTGTTCACTCCTTATTATGAGTGAAATTTCTTCCACGTACAAGCTCTCAAGAAGGAAAAATAATGAAGTGCAAATGCATTTCATTGATTGGAGTGGAGGGACCTACGAAGCAACTAAAATCAGAATCAACTTCTTCGCTCCAGTCGGCCATCACCGAGAACAACAACAACATGATAGCAACGAAGAAAAGAAATACAACAGAACAGGAGTGGCACTATTCACACAAAGAAATTGAGAACCTGGCAATCGCATCTGATGAAGACTGAAGTAATATCATAGCAAAATAATTACTTATCAACATCTTCATTTCAGAATTTTATGCTTTAGCCCCTTTTCCTACTACTATATAAAGGGTCATCCAGGAGCTACAAGAAACACCAATTCGGAGAGAAATCTTCTTCCTCTTTTCTTTAGCTTTGTTCATAGTAGTAGTCATATAATCAAAGTGATTCTGTCAAGAACACTTTCTGTAAATTTCAGTTCGTAATTTCCATTTCCAGAATTTTAGTTCTTTAATTTCAACAATCAACTTCATTTGGAAAGTATCAGCCAGAATCATTCTCGGTTGAAGGATTTCACTTTCTCTATTCCATCTCATTATTTATGCCATCAAGTTCTTATTCAAATACTCATTTTATTTTCTTTAATCTGTTAAATTAATTATGCCTATCATTAGTTTTACTTTTATTTCGTTTACTGTAATTATGTGCAACTAAATTAGTTTAGGTTTGGGCAAGATGTAATTTTTACTGTTAATGTTCATACGATAATAATTGGTTAAAACTATTACTTGGTTAATTTTAGGAGTGTTGGGTTGAATATTCTAATCTGCTAAATACATTATATTGGGAAATGAATATTATCACGGGAGTGAAATTTCATTAAAATCCATTTTTGTTAATTCACCCACTAAATTGCTACACGGAAGTGTTAAGGAATTTAGGATAATTTGATTTTGTACTTTTTACTGTCTTAATAAAATTACCGCGGGAGCGGAATTAATTTGAGATAGTGTAATCAACTAAGTCGTGGGAACGATTAGAAGATTACCATTTGTAAATCTTTCACACACCTAAAAGTAACTAAGTTAATTAGTTAAATCTTTATTATTATGAACATCAAAATAAAATTACTCTTAGCCCAAGCCTAATTTTCTCTATATCATTAATTGTTAAATTACCAAGTATTGTGATTTATTTTACTCTAGCAATCCCGCATTGACAAAAAAAAACGAGATAAAAATAAATCTGTTCACTTAGCTCCATTGCAAAATGTTATTAATTTGTGATTAGCTAAAAATCAATCGTTAATTCTAGTTCTCTTTTTGAGCCATTCTCTAGCGGAACGATACTCACTTACTCTATACTATATCGTTTCAAGCCAATTAAAACATCATTTACATTCACATTTTTACACCATTTCACACTACACATTTTGGCATGTCATACACATTCTTCCAGAAACTCTTCAATGATGCGTAGCGTTCCATCACAATACTTATGTACTTCTTCCATCAACAGGATACGCTTCACACCCTTGTAGTCTCTGTAGATGATTCCAGTCTCAGGAAATGTGGTGATTTCGCCTTCTTCAAAATTTTCTATCCATAGAGATTTATTTCTCGGAGCTGTAAGATTAACTTTGTTGAGGTTGCTCTCAATCGCCATTTGTAGATCTACCAAGAAGTAGTACTTGATCTGTCTTAGCATGAACCTCTTGATAGAGTTGAGTCCTAGTTCTCTGTCTTTCAGTGGTACGTCACTCAATCTTACATTTCGATATTCAAAGAGCAGCTATATCAGATCTTTGGGAATGACATATAGAAAATCAGCTTCTGATACTCTTTCAATCACTTCGTTCTGTCTTTCAAACTCAATGATCAGATATTTCACGAAGCCACATTGATGGATTTATACTGAGGTGATCCCAATGATCAATGATTAAGAATGCTTCTTCAATCTTTCATGATGTCCATAAGGATCATTCTGATCAGTAGACATGTTTCTCAGCATCCATATGTGTCCGAAAGCAGCAGTTCCTTCGAGATGCTCTAATCCACGGAGTTTCAGTTTATCTATCTTCTTGATATTCTTCTGACTTCTCCAAATCATATGTCTCAGATCTTCTTGAAACGGAACGAAAATTGTGACGTTTTCCCATGGTGTCTCGAACTTGTCTTCTATTTTGGATTCCTTGGGACGTCTTTTGATCAGATTTTTGACTTGATGCAGATCAGGAAGTGGATCATCATAGAATTCTCCTTGAACGATTTCTTCTTGTTCCAGCTCCATGAGCTCTTCAGTAGTTTTCTTCTTCATCTCTCTGATGTAGTTCAACTTGGTAAGAGCTTCCTCATTGCTTATTCCCTGTAGGTTGTCTTTTTCATTTCTTTCAGCCCATTCTACTAACAACAGATCTGCCTTTGATGGTGCTTTGTATTTCTGTGATGATGCTTGTGGTGCTTTTCTCTTTGATGATCGTTGTTTAAAAGATGTAGGCTTTGAATATGTAGGGACTGAAGCAGATGAAGTGCATTGTGAACTTTGTGGAACTGTCGAAACCTATGGAATTGATGAAACAAATGTAGAGACGGGTAATATAACGTCAAGGTGACAAAGACTTACTGTTTTCATCGTTCTAATGGCTTGAAGACAATGGTGAATTCGATGATGCGTTGTCGGGACATTCTTCGCATCCTTGGTCAACATCCATAGTGGATCAGCCTATGGAAGTTCTTGTGAGGATACAGTGTCCAGGCACAATGGTTGAGGGTAAGGATGGGGTTGGTGAAGGAAATGTGATCGGTTGGAACACGATTGAGGCTAAGGATTGAGATGGGGCATCAGAAGATGATGTTGGACGTCGTGAGGATTGTGAAGGTTCAGAGTTTGAGGATGAATATGGAATTAAGGCTAGGGATGTTTGCTCACAATTACGCGGTCTTTTCTCCCCCTCATGATGATCTGAATCATCAGTCTCATCATGTTTACGCTTAGGCAGACGTTCTTGATCACGACAAGAGGTTTGGATGTATGGTGGGGCAAGGGCTAGAATGTCATGGACTTGGATAAGATGTGGTGGTATGTTGGGTTCAGATAAGAGGTGTTCGAGGAAATATTCAGAAAGGTCTAGGATGTTAAGGTTTGCGGAGTTTGTTTGAGAGGTAGAAGGTGTGGATTGGGTTGTAATGGGTATGGTTGTGGTTTGAGTTGATGGAAGTGTTTCTATATATGAAAGGAGTGGGGTGTGATCCTTGGTCTGCTATGCCTGTTGGGACTACAGGACGTAGTTCTTGAAGAGAAAGTTTATAAGCTAGAAGTTGAGATCTCAGATCCTCCCTAGTAAAACTAGCAAAGGATGAAAATCATGATCTAAAAGTAGACTCATTTCTCACAGCATCACTAGAAATAGTAGTGTCGTGGCCTGCTGGGGAGTTCAGTGTGGCAAGACTTCCAACTGTCATAGGCGTACTTCTATTTTTTTTTTTGGGAAATGTAAATATATATAGATGTAATAGTTCTGTACATCATGTGGGACAAAAATGTAGACTATCCCAAGTAGGGATGTCCTATCACCACCAAAAAAGAGCAAACATGTAAAGCTCTATGAAGCCCATAGCAAAAACCTAGGTGACGAGAGTATCAAAAAATTATCATATGCGTAGGATACATGGAATATAGAACTTTGTACACCATGAACTTAACATGGCCGATCATATCTTCCACCTTGTAAGTAGCTCCATCAAAACGTAGGGAGTTCCTTATCCTCCATATCCAATATATGGTGAAGTTGAATGCAATCCTCATAGCTTTAGCTCTAATGTTCGCTCCCTTACATTCCTTTTGGATCCATTTCACCGAGCTCTTTAGTGATGTCATTTTCCTTGCCATGCCTAGCCATTCACGTATTGCCTTCCAAACCTGCCCTGTAATATAGCATTCAAAGAATAGGTGTGGCGCTGTTTCTAGGCCACCCTTACAAAATAGACATTCGTTAGGTAAATCAAGATATGACAATTTGTCCGAGGTTGCTAGCCTATTCCGAAAGGCTAACCATGTGATGAAAGAGAACTTTGGTGGAACATATGCTTTCCAAATAAAAGACATCCAAGCGCTCTTTGTCCCTTTAATCCTAAGAACATCATATACCTTCGACGGGAGAAGTCTTCCATTGGAAGAACATTTACCGAGGTATTGCAAAGCCATGGGGAGAGAGGGAAATTTTGAGACAATAGCATCTCTAATCAAAACCAATCTCTTCATTAGTTGGGAGTCCCTATTGTGTGGACAAAAGGTCCACACATCCCTTCCATGAAGGTAGACTCCATGTACCCACCTAACCCAAAGATTGTCTTGTTTTAAGTGTATATTCCACAATGTCTTAGATAGGAGAGCATTGTTCCAAACCTTAGAATCTTTTATACCTAGCCCTCCCTCTTCTTTTGGTAAGCAAATGTCCTCCCAAGCCACTTTAGCATGTTTTCCCCCCATAGGAAGATCCGGCAAAGACCCACAATTCTATCCAAAATAGTCTTAGGGATAGGGAAGATGCCAAACCAAAATGACTGTACTCCTTGCAAAACAGTTTTGATCAACTCAACCTTACCTGCATAGGATAAACTTTTAGTATTCCAAGCATTAATGAAATCAGCCACCGTATCTATTAATGGGGAATATTGAGCCACAGACACCTTTAGTGGAGATAATGGAATTCCAAGGTACTTCACAGGAAATTCACCTTGTTGAAAATCAACCATTTTTAATATATGGGACAACTGGTTTATTATATTACCTCCTAAGAAAATGTTAGACTTTTCATGATTAACCATAAGGCCAGAGGCTTGACCAAAATCATACAACGCATCCACCAAAATCTTTATAGACTTATAATCTCCTTTTGAAAAAAGCATTAAATCATCAGTATAAGCAAGGTGAGAGATTTTCAGTTGTGAGCATAAAGGATGCCATTTAAAAGAAGGATTAGAAGTCCTTTGATCCATTAATCTTGAAAAATACTCTAGGCATAGGACAAACAGGAGAGGAGACATTGGGTCACCTTGGTGTAGGCCTCTTTTACCTTCAAACCAGCCATGTAAGACCCCATTATTAGATATTGAAAAAGAGGAAGTGGTAACACATTCCATAATCCAACCCACAAAAACATTAAGGAGACCAATCTGTCTAAGTACCATCTCAAGGAACTCCCAGGAGACAGTATCATATGCTTTCCTGAGGTCTATTTTAATCATACACCTAGGGGTAACCCTCTTCCTAGCATATCCCCTAACTAACTCTTGTGCTAAGAAGATGTTGTCAGACATCAACCTACCATCCACAAAAGCTCCTTGTTAGGGGTGTTAAATGCTAGAAAGACAGTCCCCAAGCCGAGCTGCTAAAATCTTAGTTATTATTTTATAGGTCACATTCGTGCATGAGATTGGCCTGAAATCAGCTACTGTAGGGGAGTGATTTTTCTTGGGGATAAGAGCTACAACCGTGTGATTAACTTGTTTAAGCATAACTCCAGACACAAAAAACTCCTTAACCGCGTCACATACATCATCCCCAACTAGCCCCCAATTTGCTTTGAAGAAAGCAGAAGAGTACCCATCTGGGCCAGGGGCCTTGTCATCTCCAATGTCAAAGAGTAATTGTTTAATCTCTAAATCAGTGATTGGTTTGATTAAACCCTCTATTCTATCATGGTCAATCAGTTTACCCGAGGGTATGGCACCATTATCAAATCCAGAAGATTGCACTTTTGTGCCAAACAAGTCTTTAAGGAAAGTTATGAATTCATTTGCAACTTGATTCATTGAGTTGGTAAGGCTGCCATCCTCTAATCTTATGGAAGCAATAGAGTTCTGAGCATTCCTTTTCTTTACAATTGAATGAAAATACTTGGTACATCTATCTGACTGAATTAAGTGAATCGCCTTAGCCTTTTGTTTCAGATAAGCTTCCTTAGCCTCTTTAAGAAAAAGTGATCTTTTCTTTGCCATTAAAAGTTCTTCTTTGAGAGCATCATCTAAAGGAGCTAAGAGGGCTAACTGGTAGATTCTCTTAAACTCCTTTTTTGCTTCCTTTGCTCTAGCTGTTATGTGACTAAATTCCTCCTTGTTTAGCATTTTAAGGGGCTGTTTAAGAAGTTTTAGTTTACGAGCAAGTCTAAACTGAGAACTCCCAACTACCCTCCTTTTCGACACATCATTCAAGATATCCAAGAATTTATCATGTTTAAGCCACATATTGAAGAATTTAAATGGTTTAGTCCCACCAAAATCAGATTTTCCAATTGTAACCAAGGATGCAACATGATCAAACTCACTTTCCATTTCTAAAAATCTACCCAACTTGACCCTTGCGTAATTGCTTAGATGACAAGCATTTGTTGAAAATGGAAGAAGGTGATCTCCATGGTCGTGGGCCTGTGGTAAGTGGTTGGCTACAAAATGTGAGAACAAGGTGAGTGGAGGTAGGTGACCAACTTTGAGCATAGCAGTTAGAAGTTCTTGGTTAGAGGGAAAAGGGTCAAATTGGGTAGATTTTGGTAAATGGAGGAGGGTTCTGAAGGTATCGTGGGTGATTTGGATTGTGGAGTTGGCTAGGGTGGCTTCAAGGGTAGGAATGGGACTTTCAATAGTATGCAATGTTCCCAGAATTGTCTCAGATAAATTTTGGGAACTTTTGCTAAGATATTCAGTGCTAGCCACAATGAGTGTCCTTTCAGAATGGAGATCATTATCATGTCTTGACACTTGAACACCGTTGGGTCCAGTAGGTAATTGTTCTCCATGATTTCAATCCAAATCTCCTTAATTAGGATACACTTCTTCCTTAGAGATGAAAGCCATTATGCCTGAATTGCACAGATAAACAGATATTAGATTAAAAGGTTTAGGGCTTGGGTCAATTAGGCTAAATGGACTAAATGGGCTTGGTTTTGAGATCTAGTGATTTAGACATAGGGAAATTCGGGTGTGGCTCTTGGTAAATGGGAATTCGGGTCTCTTACACTCAGAAGATCTCGGTTGAGTTGATTTCGGGGACAGGACTTCCCGTGATAGACTTCGGTACTCTGGGCCAAGGGGATTCGGGTGTTAGGAACTTCTAGAGTATGTAAGTACCTCGGGGCTTAGATCTCGGGGGTGTGGGTGCTGAAATTATGATGTCAGGTCAGGAATGATAGTCCCTGTTTCTATAACAGCAATATGAATAGCAGCATAACAAGAAGAAGATTTACAGAACAGATGAACACAGATGAATCGATGTAAACCCTTCTTGATATACCGTGAACTCGTACACAAAATGATTTGCACTTAAGGCTATTATGAATAAGTATGAAAGTTGACCTAATCCTGAATCCTCGGCTCCCTTTTTATAGGCGAGGTTCAGGTAGGCGTGTAAGGCTTTTAGCCTGTTGTATGGGCCTAACACTTGGCCCATATTCAATCTAATAAATGCACATATTAAATACAAGGAATAATAATAAAGCTAATCTATTACAAGAGAGGTGACAAACTTGATTCACAATTAAATGATCTTCAACAATCTCCCCCTTTGTGATCAAGTGCCACTTTGTTATTGCTTCTGTGATTTGAAATAGTGTTTCCTCATATTCAGTGCATGCTCGTATTGCCTTAGCATGTTTCTCATGTCTAGGCGATCATTGATGGCTTTTAGAATGGTCTCCACTGTAGAGTGTTCCTTTTGAATGTATGACGATGCCTCCTCAAGATTTTTCTCTAGCTGTTTCTTCATCTTCAGCAGTTGTTCTTTGATTATCTTCAGCGTTCCATCACAATATTTCTCAATTTCGCTTACCACCATCAGACGTTTTTCATTCTTGTGGTTGAGATATGTGACTGCTGGCGGTGTAAAGAAGATGTGATATGATGGGAAGTCTTCGAGCTCTGGACTATACAATCTTGGCTTTGTAAGATTTGTTTTTGTCAAATTGCACTCAATAACCATCTGTAGGTCGTGAGATGAGTGCACTCTGATTTGTCTGAGCATGAATCTTTTGATTGCTGCAAGGCCTTCGCTGTATGTTTTGCTTTGTCTGACTGGAAGGTATCGATATGCCATAAACATTTGATAAATGTCGTCTGGTTTAAGCATGATGAAATCATTTTCTTGGCATGTAAATTCACTCCCATCAGTGCGTTGAAGCTTGTAAGAATAGAATCTCACTCCGTGATAATCCTCGGCCTTAACCTGTAGGATTTGATGAATAGGGAGAATATTGGATTTAGAATCTTGTTCCATCAGCTCTCTTTGAGTACCGGTTGACCTTTGCAACAGCATATGTAGATGACCTCCAGCCTGCTTTCCTTTGAGATGGGTAAGGCCTCGTAGCTTTAGTCCATTCAACGGTTTGACTTTGTCTGGTCTACGCCATATACGCTCTCTGATTTCCTCTTGGAAGGGGGCTTTGATTCGTACGTTGTCCCAAGGTTTCTCTGTCTTGGGAAGTCTTCCCGCTGATTGTCTGACGACTGATTCAAGTACTTTCTGAGATTCCTTGTAGTTCTCCCCTTCCTTTCGTTCATCGTCCTCGAGCCTGATTATATCTTCTGCACATTTGTTGATGAGTTCTCGTAGGAACCAGTTCCTCTGCATATCTTTGCATTCTTCATCCTGCATGATTTGATCCATCTCCGTCCACTGTCTGGGCCATTTGTCGTGAATGATGATATCTTCTATTTGATCATGCATTTCATCTGACGACAGAACGGTAGTGGCTGGTTGATGTTTTGGAGACGGAGGCCTGTTAATCGAAACACCGGGTTCACTAGGATTTCCCGTTGTCATCAGCTTTGAACTAGGTTCTAACTGATGGCCTGATGTAAAAGATGTACCAGTGGTAGCATCATCAGGACTTCCATCCCCTCCTCGGTTGGTATATCTTGGAGATACGCCTCGGGATGTTTCATCTAGCTCGACCAGGCTAGAGAATTTGGTTGCGG